AAGATAAATAAATATTTTTTATAATAAAAGTTTTTTTATTTTTTAAAATATTATAGATAAATATAAATAATATCTCTAAATTTTTAATTTTAAAAAATTAAAATTTAATTATTTTAAAATAAAAAATAACATTTTTATTCTTCATCCACACCCGGGGATTGCGCGTATCTTTTTGTTTTTGGGAGAGCCAAATTTGACTAATGGCACCTTGGATTCCAAAAGTAGAGAGCAATTTTCTTTCAGAAGAAAGGAAACCAAAATGGAAAAAGCAATGGGACAGGACAATAATCATGTAAGCATGAGAGTTGGTGAATTATTGCAAGCATTAATAATGATGCAGGGGGGCCCGGTTGCGCGTTTGCCTTTTTATTTTTAATAATAGAAACAGTGTGATTGAACTATAATTTTATTTTTTGACTAGAAATGGTTTTTTTTTTTTTTTAATCTTGAGATTTTTTAAGATAAAGGTTAAAAAAAGGAAAAAAATAAAAAATTTTAACATTAAAAATATAATGATATCTAATAATGGTTAAAATGTTTTTTAAAGTATTTTTTTAAAACTACCTTGATTTATAATAATCCCTTTTTTGGATGAAAAGAAATGAAAAAGGCGAAAGCAATGGGATAAGATAATCAGGCCGGTGGGTAGGCGTCGAATTATTGGCTAAGGGCAAAATAATGCAGTGAGGCCCACTGGGGGCCCAGTTGTTGCTGATACAGGAAAATGATAGAACTACACAGAAGTTAAAATTTTCAGTTGCAAGGACTATTTTGCCCCTGTCATGACCGAAATCATTCTTCGTCCCTTGCTTCCAATTTGGGCAAGTTTGGACGACACCTCCCTCCTGCATTGACTTCAAGTCAAGGCCATCGTCAGTGGCAATTGGCCACAAAAACTAATGAGAAGTTTTACGGAATATAACCTCTCTCGACTAGAATCGGTGAATGTGCACTGGGAGATCCACGCAAACTGTTTCTTACCAAAAACAAGTTAAAAGAAAAAAAAAATTTTTGAAATCCTAAAATAAAGTTATCATTCATTTTTAGAATTTGTGAAACTGACTTCATGAATGAAAAGGGAGGTGAAAAAAGAGTACATTCGGCTAAAATGAAAAGATATACGTTCGAAAACAGGACGATAATTAGTAAATAAAAAATATTGTGCAGCATAAAATGTATTAAATTAAATTATATAATAAAA